TTGCCATTGAAGAAGGTTCGAAAAGATCAAGAAGGTTTGTGAAGGAAGATGCAAGAGGCTGAAAGCCTTAAAAGAGCTAAAGAAAAAGAAGTATCCAAAGAGGAAAAGAGAGAGTCTACTGCTAAGGGTTCCAACATCCTTCTTTCACTTACCGATTTTCAGCGAGAAGTTGGTGACCTAGATCATCAAAAGGGGGGGTGTTTTATGTTGTTATGCAAAGATTTATTTCATTCTGATAAAGATAATCTACTAACTAATTTTCTCGTTCCCTTTGCTAGGATGCTTGAAGAGATGAAGGATGTATACCCGGAGGAACTACCGAAAGGACTACCGCCCATTCGTGGGATAGAGCATCAAATTGACTTCGTACCAAGTGCTTCAATTCCAAATCGTCCTGCATATCGGTGCAACCCAGATGAGAATAAGGAGATTCAAAAACAAGTCCAAGAACTTCTTGAGAAAGGATGGATTCAGGAGAGTTTATCACCATGTGTTGTTCCTGCTATCAATGTCCCCAAGAAGAATGGGACTTGGAGAATGTGTGTGGATTGTAGAGCGGTGAATGCTATTACAATTAAGTATCGACACCCAATCCCGCGCCTTGATGACTTGCTTGATGAGATCAATGGAGTGAGAATCTTCTCCAAGATTGACCTTCGGAGTGGATACCACCAGATTCGTATGCAACCTAGCGATGAGTGGAAGACGGAATTTAAAACCAAGCTAGGTTTGTACAAATGTTTGGTAATGTCATTCGGTCTAACTAATGCTCCTAGTAACTTTATGCATTTAATGAATCATGTTCTACGTGCTTTCATTGGTAAATTTGTTGTAGTCTACTTTGATGATATTCTTGTCTATAGAAAAGTGAAGAGGAACATATGGAGCATATGTGACTCGTCTTTCAACGGTTAAGGGAAGAACAACTCTATGCTAATTTTAAAAGTGCATATTCCATACTAATGAAGTTGTTTTCATTGGGTTTGTAGTTAGCGAGGATGGCTTGAAAGCTGATGAAACAAAAGTAAAGACAATTAAAGAATGGACACCTAGAATGAATGTGGGAGAAATTAGGATATTTTTGGTAATGTATGGATTTTTTTTGGAGGTTCGTGCCTGGTTTTAACTTGATCGCTGATCCTCTCATGTCCTTTCTCAAGAAAGGGGTCCCATTTAAATAGGAACAAGTACACCATAAAGCTTTTGAGACATTGAAGGCAAAGCTTACTCAAGCCTCAGTACTTGCGCTACCAAATTTTGAGAAGACCTTTGAGCTTGAGTATGATGCTTTGGGCAAAAGCATGGGTGCAGTTTTGCTTCAAAAAGGTCGACCCATAGCCTATCATAGTGAGAAATTTGGAGGGACTGCCTTGAATTACTCTACATATGACAAGGAGTTGTATGCAGTGGTACGGGCTTTAAAGACATGGCAACATTATTTGATGTCAAGGAGTTTGTGATACACACCGATCATGAGACCTTGAAGCACTTGAGGAGGCAACAACAACAGAATTGAAGGCACGCACGATGGGTATCTTTTATTGAGTCATTTCCATACACCATCAAGTACAAAAAGGGTAAGGATAATATTGTCGCGGATGCACTCTCACGCAGGTATGCTTTAGTTTCATACGTGCCCACGCATTTATTAGGATTTGAGCATGTTAAGGAATTATACCACACTGATGAGGATTTCAAAGATGTGTATGCTTTGTGTGAATTGCATGGGCACGATAAGTATTGTAGACATGAGGGATTTTTGTATTACAATAATCGACTTTGTATCCCAAGATGCTCCATTTGGGAGTTACTAATACAAAAAGTTCACGGTGGTCACATGATGGACCACTTTGGGAAGAATGCTACAATTGAAGCTCTTGGAGAGAAATTTTATTGGCCTAGAATGCGCAAGCAAGTTGCAGATTATATTTCGCGATGCGTGATGTGCCTCAAGGCCAAGTCAACACTTAAGCCACATGGACTCTACATGCCTCTTCCACCCCCTGAGGAACCTTGGATTGATATAAGTATGGATTTTGTATTCGGTTTACCTAGAACTGCACGTACTAAAGATTCTATTTTCATTGTGGTTGACAGGTTTTCCAAGATGGCGCATTTCATTCATTGCGCAAAGACAAATGAAGCCCATCACATCTCCAAACTGTTTTTCAAGGAGATAGTACACTTTCATGGAGTGCCAAGGTCTATTGTCTCAGATCGTGATGCAAAGTTTGTGAGTTGCTTTTGGAAATCATTGTGGCATGAAATTGGTACTAAGCTTCTTTTCTCCACATCCTATCACCCCCAAACTGACGGACAAACGGAGGCGGTAAACCGGGTGTTGGGTAATCTCCTTAGAGTTACTGTGAATTCACATAGTAAAAGTTGGGATGAATGTCTTCCTTACATTGAATTTGCATATAATAGACATATCCACATAGCCACGCACATGTCACCGTTTGAAGTAGTTTATGGAATGAACCCACTAACGCCTATTGATCTTTTACCATTGCCTAGTAATGAGTTCTTAAATGTTAATGGTAGGGAACGAGCAAGACGCATAAAGAAACTTTATAAGGATGTCAAAGAAAGTCTAGAAAAATCTGCGGAGGTATATGCTAAGTACACTAACCGCGGGCGTAAAACTGTAATATTACATCCCGGAGATTGGGTTTGGGTTCACATGAGGAAAGAAAGGTTTCCCGCAAGACGGCGTACTAAGACTATCACCCCGAGAAAATGGGCCATTTCGAGTGCTTGAAAGGATTAATGATAATGCATACCGATTGGAACTTCCGGATGAATATGGTATTAATCTTACTTTTAATATTGCAGATTTATCACTCTATGATCGAGCCGATGAGGAAGCACAACGGTTGATGGCTCAACCTTCTGAAGGGGGAGAGGACGACATGGATACGAAAAGATCGGGACTTGCAATTCCACATATTCCAATTGGACCAATCTCGAGAGCTCGAGCGAAAGCGTGCATTGAAAAATTGCACGGCCTGATAAAGAAATTAGAGAATTGAAGCCCAACCGACGGACTATATTACAACATGCGAGAACTTGATGGAAAGCCTTGGGCAAGTGCCATGGTTGTAAAGGTTACATTGGAGCTTGCAACGCCTCAATCAGACAACTAACAGAAAAATTGTGCAAACCTAGGAGTTTGCTAAAATAGACGGTTTGATATGTAATAATACAAATCAAGGTAGCTCAAGTGGGGGGGGGGGGGAACATCTATTGGGACCACTTATATATACATATATAATAAGCTCTCTCACATGTCTCTCACATGCATGAGGGGGACCATTAGCTAGGTATCATTCATAAGGAGATTACTTATATAAAACTCATCCCACATTGAAAAATCATTCCACTTACCCCTTCCCCCACTTCTATAAATAGGACCCTCAAGGTTCTTTATAAGACACACCAACCAAGAATATTATTATGAATATTTTATCATTTATGATCATTTCCTTTTATGAAAAGTTATGTTTGATAGCAATATTTTCTCTTTTAATCTAATATTTCATGGAATGCAATTCCATTGCATGCTCCATAAGGTTTAGTTTCAAAATTCGGGTTTGGGTATAAAGCCTCAAGTTCGTGGCATTTGGGGAAGGTGGAAGAGCTCTCCAAAGTGTCGACCGAGGTGGTGCCTTCGTGGAAGATGGTTCGATGCTAGAAGGGTATCGGGTCGTGTTTACGTTAGTACTTACATAGGTTTGCTTCTCTTTCGATGATCTTTTTTCTCGATTTATTCGTTCCGTTTAGTTAATTCGTTCTTTTCTTACTTAATTAGTTCTGTTTAGTTGTTCTTTCTCATTGTTTATTAGTTAGTTCCGTTTAGTTAGTTTATTCTGTGTCTTGTGTAGTTGATCAATTTCGGTCAATAACATATGTTATATAATTTTTGGTATCAAAACAAACCCCTTGTTTAGAAATAATTTTGGGATACAATTTTTCTTCCTTTTATTTTTTTTTCTTCCTTTTATTTTTTTTTCTTCCATTTCTCTAAAACTACTTGGAAAAAAAAAAAAAAAAACTCTTTTTCTTCTTTTCTTGAAAAATTCCTGAGCAAACCCCCTGATTTTTTTTTTCTTTTCGAATTTGGTTTGCGAAATTCATTATTTCGTTCAAGTCGTTTTGAGAGGTCATCAGTGGTGGATCAAATTTGCTTCAAAGAACTTGTACATGAGGCTCGAATTTCATTTCGAATCAAATCCGGTGTTTGATTTTTGTGTTATTCAAATGGTTAGTTTTGAACTTTCACACCTCTCGGATTTTACTTGTTACTGTGATAACAATACTATCTTTGGATAAATGACAGATTTTATTTTAGCACTATTATATAGATAATAAAAATCAGTTAATCAATAATATTACTTTCTTTTCCGGTAAATTAGTTAATCAATTATATTTGTTACTCTCTCGGTCCCATTGAAAGGTTGTCATTTTTCATTTCGTTAGTCCCAAAACAAGATTATCATTTCCTAATTTAGTAATTGTACTACCTGCTTAAAATAATAAATATCTTTCCAACTTATAATATATTACACAAATGTGATTACTTTTATATTAGACAATACTAATAGAGATATTTTCGTCTTTTTTACTACAACCTATTATAATACTAATATTCAAAACTTTATGTACAAAAAGTAAACGACAACCTTATACCGAAACGCAGGGAGTATTATTATTTTTACTTGTTTATCAACTAATTAATAAATTTTATATAATTTCTCATTTTATTTTAATATTATAATTTTAATCTCTCTTTTGCAAAAATTATTATCCTTTGTAATTTGCGTTATCTTTTAAAATCCGTATCGAATCAAAATTACATATTAGTTTTGGCTGAAAAATGTATACTTTTAGTTTAAAACTAATTCAAATGGATAAATAAAATCCAAACACAATCTAAAGAAAGCCCAAATTATGGGCTGACCCAGGTCCATAAAACACCCAGGTTTGGTCCAATTGCTAAAGCTGAGTGAGCAACGGCCTACTGAGCTCTAAACCCTTCCTTCTTCCTAGCTCTGCCATGAGCGACCGCCGGGATCGGGACCGGGACCGAGATAGAGATCGAGATCGAGAGCGAGAGCGTGACCGGAAAAGGTACCGTGAAGTTGACCGCGAACGTGACCGTGACCGTGACCGTGAACGTAGTAAACGCTCGCGCTCCCGTACGCCCGACCGCACGAGATCCCGCCACACGCGATCGCGGACTCGTTCCCCCGACGAAAGAGATCGTGACCGGACCCGGCACAGGCACCGGCACCACAGGTCGCGCTCCCGTTCCCGGTCCCGCAGTCCTAGCTCTCCTCCCCGGAAGCGCCACAAGGATGACTTGAAAGACAAAGACAAGGACAAGCAAAAGGACGATGCCCATGCCCCGTCTAGAGAAAAGAAGCAAAAGGATGGTGCCGGAAACAACCAGGAGGGCAATAAGGACGAAGATATGGTGGATGAAGATGAGATGGAGATGATGAAGAAATTCGGGATTCCAGTGGGGTTCGACACCACGAAAGGGAAGTCAGTCCCTGGGAACGACGTAGGTGCGGTGAGAAAGGTCACGAAGCGGCAGCCGCGGCAGTACATGAATCGTCGTGGTGGTTTCAATCGCCCCTTGCCTGCTGAACGCAACCGTTAGAATTTCAATTTCATCCAGGTTAGGGTTGGTCTTCATATGATTTTTAGCTTATTTATTACTGACTGCATTTTGAATAGAATGGAAACTCCAATCGTTCCGCCAACCATTATATTTCCTTCACCTTCTTGATTGCAATTGCTTTCTTGGTCAATATTTTTAGGAAATTGTTTGGAATTGTTGATGATAAAAAGTTGCATCTGGTTGAAGTTTTGGATATAAATTCCATTTGTGGAATTTGTTTGCAATTCCCACTTGAACTTGTGAAACTGAATAGCCAACTTCTTTGGCTACTTTTGAATGATAATTTATCAAGCGCCCTGGTTTTGATGGGCATAAATGATCTTCTTTGTTGGCTGCTCTAGCAACTTTGCACTAGTTTTTTTATATATATGCTTCTGATTGTGCTAAATAAGGGTAGCTTGAACTCACAAATACTCTTGGGTTGCCTCCGAAATTTTCTATTAATTTGGATACTTTTCAGATTTCAACTGATTTTTGCCCGAGTTCATAAAAAAATTATTGTGGTATTTTGCTTTGCAATGAACAAATACCTTGATACTATTTGAAACCACAGTTCCACAAAATATCACAAGTATTAAATGCTATAGCTTCTAAATGTTTTTAAAATCAAGAATGTTCATGTTATGTGTAGCATCAAATTTATTAGTTGAAGCTGGAAGTTTCAATTTGTACATATTATTGAGACCATGGGAGCATGACACAGGAGGATGCTTTCCTTTCCTTTCCTAAGCTGATGTGTAAAACAAAACATCAGCCCAATCTAACAGAAGAAGGAATATGTGTTTCATTTTCATTCTGATAGCTTCCTGCTTGAGTCATGATGTTATGCCTAAGAAAGGGAAAAAATGACTAATTCTTGTAGTTTTCAATCTTGATGTAGGTTGAAGAAGATCCACTGAAGATAACATGATCTCTCTCGGTTTAAATCTAAGTTGGACTAGCGGGGAAGATGCAAGGAAGGATTCAATTTAGTCATATTATAGAGGATGCACATGTCTCTGTAGTGGTGGTATCTATCTCACTTTGCTTAATGGATTACAATTTGATAAATTGGTTTCTCTCTCGACCACCCGACTTGTGTCCAACAGATTTCATGAAAATTATCTGCGCTAGCTGGTCTGAAAAATCATCTCAACATACATAGTAGATGGATACTCAATAGCTATGATTGGTTTGGTCGTAATCATTGCAGTCTTCCTTCTCCACTGCTGGTTATGACATAGTTGATTTCTGAAAACCTTATATCTTCTCTTCTTAAAGGACTGACGTGTGTGTATCTCCTTACTCTTCGGGTAATGTCTTGATAGGGAGAGGCAATTTTTATATGTGCATATATATGCAAGTATATTTCACCATATAGCATGAAACTATGCTCAATGACAGTTCCAGAGCAAAATATTTCTTTGCCTGGTGATGCATGTTTGATTCGCCAGAAAGCTGGTTGCCTTCTCGGTAGATGTTAGAAATCTTTCTAGTGGCATTCTAGAGGATGTTCATTAAGTGAGTATGGTCCATGTAGTTAGAATCTGATGTATCTCTTGTTCAATACAAGATTCGAGAATGAATCCATAAACACCTTAACAACCCTTACTTCTTGTGGTGTTGCCGTCAAGCTTTTTCTTCTTGCGGTGTTGTTGTCAAGCTTTACCACATCAACCCTTACTTTTAATAAATATTATTAAAAAAAATTATTGTCACACTCCAGCCATCGGATAACTTTTATGCAATAGAAATCCTTGTCAACAATGCTTGTAGGTTCATCGTCTTTGAAGCCTCGGTCACAATCAGTTTCCAAGTGATATTGCACCTATTATTTCTTTCCCTGGCTCTTCCGTCAGTTTTGCATGGAGTAATTTGCAATCTAAATTCTAATCGATCCCTTGCAAAAGGCATGCATGCCAACCCTATATACACCGTCTTTGTCTCATCAACCATCCGGTGGCCCTTCAACAACATTTGTTGATAGCATCAGAATCAACATTCAGTTCTTATCCGTCGTCAATCTTTGAAGCAAATTTTGTTCACTCTATCTTCCACCACCGAAGAAGGGTTAGAAAGTCTGCACAACTCTCTATTCTAAACAAAAATTCACAAAGCCTTCTTGTTGCATCTCGATCCTAGTTGATGATAGTATTGGGAACCACTTTGGGAAAGTACTTAGTCAATGGGCTCAAACCAAATGGCAAGAACTATGTATTAAGTGAAAATAATCGACAAGTAGGTTTAGCGGGGTAATTTGCATCCTCGGCTCTTCAATGCCACATGATATAATAGCTCAAGATGTTTTCTAAGTTTGTGCCTTCTGAGTCTAGAACCACTTAACTAACGAAGTTTGGGTGTCTTCAAAGTTTACGATCAACTTGCATTTTAGACATCACAAATTTGTAGATGAGTTCGGACAATAAACAATTTGCATACTCTAAAGATAAAAAATAGGAGAGAGAGAGCAAACCAAGAGAGAGAGAGCGCAAACCATGAGCGGACTTATTTTTAGTTTTAGTAAGTAGGGTTAAGATAGTGCTATTTAAGTAGTAGTTAAAGTGATGAGACAATCATTCTGGGTTTGAAAATATAAAGTATCCTTTGAGTTTTTTGAGCAAATGGTTGATATCATTTTGTTATTCTTGAGCAAACAATTGCTATTGTTTGCTTAATCTCATCTATTTACTTTGATGCTAACAATTGGTCTGATCTCTTGGATCCCTTTCCCTCTAGAATGATGAGATCGACAAGCGATCGATTGAATATATCGGAGGCCAAGATGAAGGATAACTAGAATAGAATAATGCGAAATTAGCATAGAATAATGTGCATGATTGTCACAGCATCGCCTAGGTGACACCTAGTCATCTTAGCGGTGTACGATCACCGCCAGAATAGGTAGCATCGCCATTTGGTGAGGCTGGCATCCAGGCGTCGCTTGGCGATTCTGTCTCGCTAAAGCGACGCCATACAATGCCAAGCCCAAGCTCTGGGCCCTAAATCCAGTCCAAATTCATTCTTAATCCAATTTAAACTCATTATAAAATCCAACCTTAAAACCTGAAACTCAACCCTAAAACCCAACCTTTCCTTTGTTAAGGTTAGTGTTACTTAAGTCTCACCCACTTCTATTGCTGCCGCCATCCACCGGTCGCTTCAATTTTGTCTTCTGTCTTCCGTCTTTTGTCATTGCTAGCCTTGTCGTTGGCACCTATGATCATGTAAGAACTCTTTATAGTGTAATGTGTATTGTTTAGGTTAATTGTATATATATATATATTATATGTGTTTAGTAGTGTAGTATTGTTTATTGTTTTGTTCTACAATATTGTAAATTTTTATTATTATTTACTCTTTCCGTCCCATGTATTATGGGTCTATTACCGTAGATACGAGAATTTAAGTAAAGTGTGATTAGTAAGCAATTAAGAAGTGTATTAGTAAAAGTAATTATCGTATAATAAAAATAATTGTGGATTAAGATTAAGATAACTAAATAGTTTAATTAAGATTAAAAAAATTATAAAATTTAAAATTTAAAATTTAAAATGAGATTAAAATGTATAATTATATTTCCAAAAAAGGAATGAACAAATTATGTGGGACGGACGAAAATAGAAAATAGGGACAAATTATGTGGGACGGAGGGAGTATTACTTAGTGCGGACTGTAGTGAATATATATATATAATGTATTGTTGTTGTCGGTGATTATATATAATATATTACTAGTGTTTTACTGTTAGGCAATTATATATATATATATACATATTTGTATGGATAAGTGTTATAGCTAAAGTTGTTTTATGCTTGTCTTGTCCCGGTAATATATATTATATACAGTCAATGATGGTTGGTTAGACATGATAGATTGTAGATAAAAGAGTTCTTTTTTGTGTTTCTATTTTATAATTTTTAATTCAACTTAGTTTATTTTATTGATTTTGTCGTTAAGTATGTTGATTTTTGTATTAATTCTATTCATATTTTAATGTTTGACTTGTGACTTATGCATTTTACTCTATTACTACGCAATTAGCCGAGATCGTAGTTTTTCCAATTGTGCTATCGAAGGCGATTCTAAAACCATCACCGGAAGGGCACTCGTCAATTGGAGCCACAAAAGGAGGAGTGTGGGTATCTGTCACAGCCCCAAAGACGCCACATGTATATGATATGGCGCACGGTGGTGCGACAACAAAGCCAATGCCGTCGTTTGAAGTTGGACACCTGATTGGGTGGGTAGCTAGGGTAAAACAAAATTTTGAATTAAATCATACTTCACTGTAGATGAAGGTCGAATCAAGTGTGGTTGCTATGGATGGACCGACCTTGTACTGGTTGACATGGTTAAGGGTGCGTGTAGGAGGATTTCACACAAACATTGGTAGGGCGATTTGATACACGATTTAAAGGGAGCCGGTTTGACATTTTGTCCAGGGTTAGGCAGACTAGACAAAAAATGAGTTTACGATTTTTTAGAGCCCTAAATGATCTCGGATTGATAAAAAAAAAAAAAATATCGTCCGGGGTCATTTACATCATTAAAAACCCCAAACGCTAAAAAAATGTAAATCCAATCTTTACTCTCTAAAATGAACAAAATTCACACTGTTTATTCGAAACAACGCAAGAAACCAAACTCATTAGCCATAGTATGATGACTAAGTGATGTTTTTCGATCATTCGAGGTCGTTTAAGAATCTAAAAACCCTAAATACTAAAAAAATTGTAAATCTATTTTTAGACTCTGATTTTATGAAATTCGTACGCTTTATCCAAAATGACAAAATGAACCAACCAATTATATTTTTTCTCAATCCGAGGTTATTTAGGGCCCTAAAAATTCGAAACAGTGAAAAAAAAATCATTTTTTACTCTCGGAAATGAAAGAAATGTGCATGGTTTATTTGAAACAATCCAAAGAACCAAAGTTATTAGTAATAGACAAACCCTAAATGCTAAAAAAACTTTAAACCCATTTTTTAACTTTCAATTAGACAAAATTCGCATGGTTTATTAAAATGGACAAATGAATGATATTTTTTTTACTCAGCCAAGGTTGTTTAGGGACGAAAAACACTAAACGCTAAAAAAAATATAAACTTGTTTTTACTCTCGAAAATGGATAAAATTCACATGATTCATCCAAAACGATCTAAGGAACAAAACTCATCAATCATAAGTTGATGACCAACAATGTTTTCAGCCATCCGAGGTTATTTAAGGATCTGAAATCTATAAACGCTATGAAAATATAAACTTTCTTTAGTCTTGAAATTAGACGAATTTGTATGGTTCATCCGAAATGATCAAACGAACCAACCAACAATATTTTTTGTTCATCTGAGAGCGTTTAGGGCTATAAAAATCCTAAAAGCTAAAAAAAATGTAAACTCATTTTTATTCTTTGAAATGGAAGAAATTTGCACGGTTTATTTGAAATGACTTTAGAAACCAAACTTCTTAACCATACGCTGATGAGCAGCGATGTCTTTCGGTCATCCAAAAAAGGAGAAGATGTTGGCACAAATATCTTTGGCATCTCGTAAACTTTATATTGACAGATCAACTAAATGGAAGTTTGAGGTTGTTGGTGATGATGAGTTGTGCACAGTAGATTTGCAAATAAGAAATTGTACTTGCAAAGAATGACAACTATATAAAATTCCTTGCAAGCATCCATGTGCTTGTATACATAAAAAGGAGTTATCTTTGTATGTTTTTTGTAATGAACACTATAAAGTAGGCATGTACTAAGAGGCTTATCGGGTGGCGATAAATCCTATTCCAATATTTGAACTTAATAGCTCTCAAGTTGATGTTGAAATTGTGACTCATCCCCTAGATGTTCATCCTCAACCTAGGCGTCGAAGAAGCAAAAAAATACCATCACAGATAGATATTCAACCTCGAATATGCAAAAACTGTGGAATGTCTGGTCATAACAAAAGAACATACAAATATCCCCAGCTACATTAGTGATATAGTATTTTTAGTAAGGGTATTTTTTTTAAGTTGTTTTGTGGACAAACAAAATGGAGTTGTCGATTCTTTTTAAACTTATATATTAAAGCAATGTTATTGA